TGTTTTGTGATCTGCCCATGTTTTCCATCCTGCTTTTAAGTGCAACATCAAGCAGTGGGACTGTGCAGCATTTTGTTTTGGAAAAAAGCATCTTTCTTTTCTCTTGCAATGCATTGCTTTGAACTTTACTGGCATAAAGCACTGTCAAATCATAAATAATCTAAAACCTCAAGTTATTTTCTTTACCTCCACACTCTGCAGGGAGCAGAAGCAGCAGTGCTGCTAACACCATGAGGATTTACAGTATTTGCTCTTTGCATTTATTCCCGTACCCGTATTCCTTCTGTCTGAGCCGTGCAAGACTCTTTTCCCATTAAGTTCTGGTTTTGATTCTCCGTCTTGCTTCCTATCTTGTTTTTTTATCTTAAATTGTTTGAATTTCCTTTTGGATGTGTCTGCTGCGAGGCATTGCTGCAGCGGAGGAAACGGTGACTCGGAGGAACGAGTAAACAAGAGGCAGAGTTTCAGCCCGTCCATCTGATCGATAAAGGTGGCTTTGATGGAAAAGATAGCCCTGACGCCAGCCTAAATGTAGCTGTTAGAAGTTGTAGCTGCCTACAATGATAGTTGTTAAAAATGCGGCGTATACCATCGAGGGAGGCACTGCAGGACTAAAATATTTTTCTTTCTTCAAAAAGAAAGCTAACAAGCCTGCCTCTGTTCCAGGCAGAAAGGAGGAAAAAAAAAAGTGGATTTTCTTGTCTGTGCATAAAGGGCAGCGTGGAAAAAGAGGAGGAAAAAAATGGAATATTTATTTAAAAGGCAGAGGACATGCTTTTCTGCCGGCCGCCCCTGCTGTCTTCTGAGTGGTAGTGGCTAATAGCTGGAGGCGAAACTAATACTTGGCAGGGGATAAGACACAGCGCAGGCCCCCTTGTATTAGGGGCTTGCTAAAGTGCTTGCTTTATGTCAGGGCTGCGAGATGAGTTCATCTTTTCAGGATTTGGTTGAGTGCGCTGGGAGATAAAAGAAGGCAAAGGAACCCACCGCGGCACGGGGAGCGAGGCAGCCGGCAAGGGCGGCGATGGATGGGGCTGGGGGAGAAGAGGGACCCCGCCGAAAGCTTTCCAGAGGCAGAGGCTTTTCAGATGAGCCTTTTAACTGTCTCCTTTTGGGATGTTTTATTTGCCTGCGGGCCACAGACAGGTTGCTTTTGCAGCTGGTGCATGGCTTTTAAAGCCTTTCTTCACCCCTGGCCAGGAAAAGTGGGGTGGAAAGGAAACTTTTAGCTGCTTGATGTGCGATTACCTAAAACTCACGGCGTTGCCCATTTGAAGGAGCACAGGACGTTTCCAGGAACGCTTTGAGCTGGCAGAGCTGTCGCTGCCGGGCAGGAGCTGTGGCGGGGTGACAGAGATGGAAAGTACGCTGGCAGGGGCGTTTCACCCGCTGAGACGCGTGTATGGATGGATAGACTGAAGCTCATGCCATAAATTGCATGGAAGTGATTTTAATAAGGCTATTTTAGATGCAGCAAAGCACAAGGTGTGAAAAAACCTTCCCCCGTTTTCAGCATGTGTGTAGATTGGTGACTTTAGCAAAATATTTCCTGGTTCCTGGAAAGCAGAGATGGCACCAGGAATGGTGACACCTACAGCAAGATGTTCTTGTAGAATAGACACTGGTTTCCTCCTGCTTTGCTTTCCCCCACTAGGTATGTTAATTTGCAATAAACCACGGGAAACACCTATTTAAATGTTTATTGCTGACTATTCCCCTAATTAATTCAACTGATGGGGAAACTTGAGTTTTGAAGTTGTCCCATTCTTAGTCTGTAAGGGAAATTCGGGGGCTGAGTGGTAGTTTCTAAAAAATGTAATAACAAAACCAACTTAGCTAATGGGCATGCAGGGCTTTGTGGAGGCTGGGAGGTTAAACAGATGCAGAGCTCGGTAATTGCTACCAGCCTCCGGGCCCGGCAGATGAAAAGCTCTGAGCTTGTCTGTAGCCCCCCCAGCATCACTCGAGTGGGACAACAGCAAAATTTAGCATTTGAGAAGAGTTTTGGAAAGGCACCGTGGGCATCTCAACTGTATGATGTCCCAGGGGAAAGATGACTGGAAACTGGACGCTGTGGAAGATGTACCTGCAGATGAAGCTCAGTTTCTCAGTACCTCTTCTTTCTGCTGTCGTGCCATTTTCATCATTTATGAACTATATCTTCTTTCGCCTCTTAAAAGAAAATACAGAATTATTGGCCGTAGTGCATTTTAAAAAGCAAAATGTGCTGGCAGTCTGCATGGTGGTAGACCGAGGGATGTTATCAGAGAAGGTCAAACAGTTTTCATCCATGCCAAGTTGTTGATTTCAGGGTTTTGTACAGATATAGCTAAGGACGGTCTTGCTTCAGTAACGTTCAATTAGGTTAAGACTGTTTGGGTCAGATTTGTGTTAATGCCATAAACTTGGTTAGCATTATTTTTGCAACTGCTGCAGAAATACTGCAAAGAGGTTCTGAAACTTCTTGTCACCAATTTTATCAAAGTTTCTGTTCTTGGTGGAGATCTTAGTGCATCATATTGGCACTAGGCAGCTGGGCATGTTTCTAACCCAGAATTAAATTTGAATCTTCTCTTCCTTCCCTAAAACTTCATGTTCGCGTGGCTGGTGCTTTGCAAGGCATCATGAGATACTTCAGGAAGAGTCAAGTCCAGTCATCAGTATTTAATGATGTGCTTGGGTACAGCGTATCCATCATGCACTCGCCCTTGACGTCACTACCCTTTTGGAGCAAGTTGGGTTGTTCGTTTTAACTCCTGGCGATGCGGACGCAGGAGGGTCATTTGAGATGGCAAAGGAAATACAGTTACTGGCCAAAGAGTAAGAATGGGGAAAAAACTTTTTTTTGGCTGATTTTTGCCATTGGCAGAGTGAAGCATTAGGATGAACTTATTACAGAGCGACTCTGAGTGATTTCTACTGAGGATGGCTCAGAAGCACAGAGACACCATTGGTGCCACTGGGACGTGGTGGAGTGTCCCACCCCTCTGCAAGGGCTGTGGCTGGGGGAGAGGACCTGGTCCTTGGGGGAAAGAAACCCAAGTTTGCGGCTCTGGGATGCTGCCATTGCTCTGAGCAAGGGTCTTCACCCATGTCCCTGCTGTGCAGAGTCACTAATGCTGAATTTAAGGGGTGCATCTCGCCCAGTTGT